CCCGTGGGCGTGACGGAGACAGGTGGACCTACAGGGAGGAAGACGAGAGTTGCGTGAGGGAAGGTTCTTCAAAGGACGGCATGAGATAAATAGTACGTTGCCATATTTCAGGGAAAGAAAATATTTTAAAATACTCAAAGGATAATAAATCTTGTCTGTTTGAGTAAATGAAGTAGGGCTAATCGGAGGTTTACAGATAAAATAAATCAAATTCTAGCGTTTCCCACACCATGTGGAGCGAGGTAAAAGTTCGAATAATTAGCGTGAAGGTTATGCATGAAACCAAACTCGCTCAAGGGTTAAAGTTTAAAGAACTTTAATCTAATTGAGTTAATTCAGTGATAAGGAAATTATGATCTTGATTTCAAAATGTTAAGAATATATTCACTTACTGCTCGGAATGCGGCCTGGCGGAGAGTGGGAATGGCGCGAGGAACTACGGTATTCCCGATATTCTCTGCGTTCCTGGTGGAATTCGGGAAGTTCCTGCGTCAGGCGGCGACTCTCCGGTGATTGTGACCTGCGGGAGCCTTCTCTGTGGTGGTGCCTGCTGTGGTGCTGCTGCTGGCTCTCCTCCTGGTGGTGGTAGTACTTGTAGCGCCGCGACTCGCGCTCTGCACCGTCGTTCAAGTGATTATAGACGGACTTCCGGGCGCTGCTGCTGTGCTTGGAGCGGGAGGGGCTCTCGTGGCCGCCGCCCATGACGCCCGCAACCCGCGCGTCGCCGCTGCGCTTCCTCGACGCTGCGATGATTTCGGCGCGGAATTCCTCCCTCGGGTTCGCCTTCAGATCCTCGCTGTTCTTCCTCGACGACGCGGCCGAGGAACCCGAGTAGTCATCACTCGTCTTGCGCGGAGAAGACGCGGGCGCTCCGTCGGGCTCCTGGCGAGGCGCGGAGGTGAGAGTGGTGGTGGTGGAGGTAGAGGAGGAGCGGCTCTCGCGGCGGCCCTTCACCCAGCTCTTGATCCCCGACAGGAGGCCGGGCGAGGTCTCGGCGGGGAGCTCCGGAGGAAGGGAAGAGAACGGAGACCCGTAACTCTGCTGCAAAGTGGGGCAGAGAGTCAAACAAAGGACATGGATGGCACGAATTGAATAGGGTGCCCGGTTTCTAAACGTTTGCATGTGATTCTTATATATGTATGCGTATATAAGTATATGCATATAATCACACATACACATTGTCTATGTGTGACACACACACACACACACACACACACACACACACACACACACACACACACACACACACACACACACACACACACACACACACACACACATACACACACACACACACACACACATACACACACACACACACACACACACCACTCTCACATTAAAAAAACACACACAGCTACTTCTCTCTTATCTTAGAGAAACGTTAAACATAACCATAATGAAACTGAAGACCTACTTGAGGGGGAGATGACCGAGGCAGAGGAGGTCTTGAGGAATCTTGACTTGACACCTCTTGCTGGTCAGAGGAATACGAAGACGAAGGATGTTCATCACTGGAATAAGAGTTGTTGTGACTGTGTTGTGGCTTCTGCGGTTGCTGTTGTTGTTGCTGCATGTGGAAGAGTTTGAGTTGCTGTTTGAGTTTCTTCTTCTCTCGCTCTCTCTTTTTCTGGAATTCTTCTTCGACCTGTAAAGATTTCGTGGGTTATTTCTTTTTTTCATTTGTTGTAAATGTCTGGCGATTTCGCGCTGAAACTTAATTATAGGATCTGAACGTCCAGGCGTAAATAAGCAGTAATTTTACTTAATTTGTTATTTTGTAAGGATTGTCTAAAATAGGATTGATTTCAGGAAAAAAAGTAGAGAACTAGAGGTTGCATAATTGACATAATTCTGATGAAGATTTTATGTAAAAAGAAATTATTCATTTTTATCGCCTTTTTTTACAATTGGCATAGTTAATTCTGTTCATGATATATTTCCAACTGTGAACTTATTTTCAAATGATCTTTCCGTTTAATATCAAGTTATTTTGTTTCTTATACTTTCTTCAGTTCATTTTATATCGAATCACTCAGTTATACCGTTTCTTTTCTTCTTCTCTCCTAAATTGTTACAGTTAATATTGTTCAAGGAATATATCTGACTGTCAACTTCAATTACAAATGATCTTTCCCCACCTTTTTCATAGCTTCAATCTCCTTCAGTCTCAGCCTTTCCTTCTCGGCGACTTCGCGTGCAAGTTTTTCCTCCAACTTTCTCTTCTCCAGAATCCTGACGGTGCTCTGGTAGGAGAACTTCTTCCCTTTACTCTTCTTCAAGTGTGGGTGAGAGTCGGGAATGTTGACCGGCAGGGAGCTGGGCCCGTGATAGCTCTCAGGAGGGAGAGCTGGGTCCTCATCGCCTGGAAATTAAAGAAAGGCATTAGTAAAATGCATTTTGTCATGTGTAGGTTAGGTAAGGGAATGCTTGCCGTGTGGCATTATTTATTTTCTTTTATACCTGATCTGCAAAGCAATTAACTTTCATATTCATAGTTAGATGTCACATTTCTTTAGTTTTTGCTATTAATGTTTATCTACTTGTATAGAAGGATCTATGATTCATTGGCAAAAAGAATATGAGTTTTATATGAATTCCAGATGACCACTCACCTGACGGTGGTTTACGTTCATTATCAGGAGAAAGCGGCCGCATGTTATGATGATCGTAGTGTCGATCGCTCTCGTCTTCATTACCGGAGTCCCCGCGCAGTACCTTACGAGAATTGTATTCCGGCAGGTACATGATATGGCCAGCGCCACCATGCTGCAGATAGGAGGGCGTTCGCGATCGTGATTCGTCGTACGGAACATCGGGAGCACCATTTCCGCCAATGCGAGACTCGGACCTGCTGCGAGCGGCTCGAGAACTTGAGAGATTGCTGACGCTGTCTTGTTCTTCGCACGTGTTGAGGGAATTGGGGATGGAGCGAGACATGGACCAGTTGTCGCGCCACGTTACGTCGTCGCCGAGAGGCTGCGACTGAGGATCTTCGGGAGACCTGCTCCTCTGAAGACTGTCTTCACCGCCAGGACTCTTTCGTCCGAGGGCCACGATAGCTCCAGACACAGATCGCTTTAGTTTCCGGAGGCTGTTGAACTTTTGTGGAATGTTCTCTCCTCCTCCAGTGCGTTTCTTCCACTTTGGCCAATTATCTTTCTTCTCTGACATAATGAGCTCCAGGATTACTTCTGTCTCTATGGGACTGTCTGGTTCAGTTTCTGGTTCTGTCGTTATTTCTGGTGATTTTCCAAACATGTTCGACCGTGATGTTAATTTTGGCGGCGTGGAAAGGCCTTGAGGTAATCCAGGCTGTTCACCACTTCCATCTAAACTATTATCGTCTAGATCCTGTGCAGGTGTCCAAGCTCTCCTGACTTCAGGACGTCCTGAAGTCACAGGTGACGATACTGCCAGGGGTCCAGACGAGCTCTTGGTTTTCTCTGGTGGACTGAGAGGCTCGAATTCATGAGTAGGTCCAGGGCTTCCAGCATCACCTGAGATGCCTGAGTCAGCAGATTTCTCGCCAGACCCTCGAGGAGGAGCTGTTGGCCGAGTGTACCTTTGGATTTTTGTCTCGTACACAGAATCTGGGTCTTCACTACTGCGACTCTCATTAAGAGGTTCCTTCTGGCGGCTAGCTCGCTCAAGGCTTAAAGAGCGCCAAGCAGCATTAGGACTGAATCTGGGAATCTCGTACTGGCGTCGAGGAAGCGTAGGGCGGAGGTTAATGCTAACTTCGCCTTCCATCTGGTCACTGTGTTCGTGATCCAGGTACAAACTGCCAGAGTTCTGACGTGAGTGATAGCCCCCGTCCTCACGCCGAGAAGAACCGCTTGCCCTGCTTTCTCCATCAGTTCGGGACATTTTGTGCCTTTCAATTGCAATCGCAAATTCTTCAACATCACGTGATAGTTTGCGGCGATCTGCATGGCTCTGATGTTTGGTACCAGCGTCAGTTTCATCAACAGTTGCTTTGTGACTCTCTTTGCGGGCGCTGCGGCTGCGGCTTCGACTCTTCTCGGCACGCTCGAGGGTACGGCGTGAGTACTCCACTGTCTGGCCAGTTATACGCACCTCATCTTGATTCTTTGTCTTGGCTGCTTCTTCTTGGTTCTTAATCTTAGCCATTTCTTCCTGATTTTTGATCTTGTGAAGACCAGTATTTGTTTCACCTCGCGTGTCACGTTGTACCTCAGGTTCCATTCCAAAGAAGAAGGTTTTTGGCTGTGAGGTATTATGGTCAGAAGCCACAGCGGCGTTACGACTAGATGGCCCGGATGACCGTTTTTCTGTTTCCTTATTCTTCCTTGTCAGGGTTGACACGGTGACCTCAGGTTCTGCAGTCTTCTTCAGGTTCTTTACAGTGTTGATGAGTTCAGCTTGAAGACTTGCTGACATCTTCTTGCGCTGTATAACTTCTCTCTCTGCTTTATCCCATTCATCATCTATTTTTGTACTGCTGTTTTTCTTCTTCATTTCAGCTTCTGCCATGTCCCACTCGTCTTTGATGTCCCTGTTTTCTACTTCTTCTTTTATTAGCTCATGATGAGAGCCACTGGATGACGAACGACGATGAGAAGAATTTTCTCGATAAGAGTCAAGGCGAGTGGACATTCTTCCAGACAGTGGAGTCGATGCCTCGCCTGCCCATTGCTTCCTCTCTTCGAGCTTCCGTTCCAGCGTGCTCATTCTGCGGTGGCTCTTCTGGTGGTCCCTTTCCAAGGTGCTGCTTCTTCTTGATTCCCTCTCAATAGCGCTGTTTTTCCGTGAATCACGTTCTAGTGTGCTACTTTTTCTTGACTCCATTTCATGTGAACTTGATCGGCGACGAGAATCCCTTTCTAGTGTGGACCACATGCGATGTTCCTGTGCATGGTGGAGGTGTGTCAGGCTCGTGGCAGTTACTGGCCTTCCAGGGGACATAGGGGGGTGGCTTAATTCATGCTGCAAGCAGTCGAGACTACGCGCACGTTCACGGATCTCTTCGCGTGGTGAACGTCGTGGTGAACGGGATACAGCAGACTGTCTCTCCTCACTCACTGCTCGCAGTCGGTCTTGCTCCTCACCAGAACTTCTCTGCTCCTCACCAGGTACTGGGCGACGGGATTCGTTCTTCTTGCGGAAAAGGCCCATCTTACGAGGCTTCGACTTCTGAGCTTCGTGAGGGGCATCTCTGGGCCTTGAACTCGGTCCAGGCCATTGTGACCACTGGTCCTGCATGGCTATGTCACTTATGGAGTGGGATCGCTCAGCTCCTCGAGGAAGGGAGTGCGTGTCCATCACATTCTCAGCGGGAGCAGGAGGGGCCTTGTACTTCTTCTTCGACTTTATTCTGCCCTTTGTTGGCGACTGACTGATGATTGTGTGTTGGGTCTGTGGCGGCGTAATTGGCGCAGGGGTTGGCCCTCTAAGGTCCGGTTCACTCGCATAGTTCTTGGAAGGAGGACGTCCAAACCTCAGATCATGAATGGACGCTGCTCGCTCGTCATGGAGATGGGGATTGTGGAGAGCAGTCATGGAGGCCGAGTGGGGTGGCTGGAGCACATGGTGAGGCGGGTGGTGGGGAGGATATGGCTGGTGAAGGGAAGTAGGAGGAGGAAAAGCTGGGTGATGGGGAGCATGGAATTCACTCATCCGTCGGGCTGTTATTGTGCCCTTGCTTTGGAGGAGGTGTCCATTTTCAGTCGGGCGTAAACGTTGTCCTGGGACTCTCTCTGGCAACACCTGCAAAAAGAGTAACAAGTAAAATAACTGCAAAATTAAATTAATGTGCTATTTCTTAAATTATAAACCTCATTAACTAATAAAAAATCAAATTGATATCTTATAGTTTTAACACCTCAGGAATCAGAATTAAATCGATATGTTATTCTATAGTTTTTACACCTTAGGAACATTAACAAAATTTCTTGTCAAATTATTATATAAGAGGAAATGAATTGAAAATCTTGCTCATAAAATATTTCGATGAAAAAATCAGATTGCCTGATATGACATAGGATTATAGTAGGCTTTAACTATCAAGAAAAATACTGAACTGAAACTGCCATCTCCTAAAAGCTAAACAAAAAATTCCAAGAGATTGGCAAATCTCAAAATACAAGCGAATATGCTTTCTCCCTTTTCTAACTATTATTTAATAGAAATGAATTATTTAACCCAAATGGTATATTATCTTTATATAGCTTCTCTCTTTTGTCCAAAGAAAGGATAATTTAGTATATCAATAATTCACACCTTATTTTCCGTTGTAGCACCATATTTCTTGAGTCGCTTATTTTCGCGAGGAAAGCTTTGCGTCCAATTCGGTGGCGGCTGCGAAAGAGCCACGCTACCGCTGTTTTGATTACCCATCCTGACGTCACTACTGGAAACGTCGCTGATTGGCCCAGGAGATCACTTCCAGCCGCGGGTTGGTCGAGATGATCCGTGACGTAGGCAGATAGCAGGATCGAAGACGTCACGGATACGTCACCCACGTCTCGTTTTCTTTAGCTAGGATGCTAATGAAAGACGAAAAGCGGTGAACGGTCGCCATCCTTGAGGAAGCTGTGCATCTTGTTGGTTCAGCGCCTGGAAGAAAACGTCTTAATTAGCTTCATTTATCACATCCGATGCCAATTTGTTCTGTTGATTTGATTGTTATTGTGTTTGTATTAAGAGTTTTATAATAAATGATATGTCATTATGCTTATATTTTCGCCTAACATCCGAGCCGCTCTCTTTCTCTCTCTATCTATCTCTCATTCTCATTCTCTCTCTCTCTCACACGTACACACACACACATTCTCTCTCTCTCTCACACACACACATACACACACATTCTCTCTCTCTCTAATTTAGAAGCAAAATAAAACAGACAGTATGTGACACCAAGAATATCCATTGTAATAAATGGAATCACACTAAATTACTTTATTTATTTTTTATTACTCTCTCTGCTTCCTTCCCTCATTCCCCTCCCTCCTTCCTCCCTATGCCCGCACTCCAAGGCACAGCTTCCGAAAAAGCGAGATTTCCACCTTCCTAAATTTGAACTACTATTTAACTTCAACCAAACTCTCCTTCCTCACACCCGTAGCTTAAACACCCACGCCCACATCTACCCGCACCCACCCACGTAAACTTTGAACCTACGGCATAACACGGCATCCATAGTAGGATAGTCACGTCACCTGACAGGGGGTTCTATTCTTCTGTCTCCCAAAAACGGCAATGGGTCGTTAAGTTTACTGCTCCTGGGGTTTAACGCTGATTTAATTATTCAGTGACCCCTTTCCCCCCCATCTTGCTCTGATCGTTTTCTACTCTCTTTTTTTTCTGAAGATTCCTATCACTTCTGATATCTCTATGTGTGTGTGTGCATAGACGGTTAGATAGTTAATATGTACATATATATATATATATATATATATATATATATATATATATATATATATATATATATATGTGTATATATATATATATATATATATATGTATATATATATGTATATATATATGTATATATATATATATATATATATATATATATGTATATATATATATATGTATATATATAGATAGATAGATAGATAGATAAATATATGCGTGTGTGTGTATATGTAAATTGTTTTTTCTTCTGTTTCCTTTTTTCCTCTTTTATTTTCCTTAAGAATAGGAAGAAATGTAGTTTTTTCGTCTTTGTGGTGAAGAGACTAGAGGAAAGATTCGAGTATAGTGCAAATAGGTGGCATTCAATCGTATTTCATTTGGTGTTGTTTGTCTGTCGTTTGTTCTTTATATCAAAGACAATAGATATTCATTTTGCATTAGACTTCCCAACAACACCTTCACGAAACCCAAGGAAGGAATATATATCCGAATAAAACGTGCAGCAAAAACCAAAAACCAAAAAACAAAAACATAGAACTTTGTACCTGTGTTTTTTTAGGCGCCTTTGTGCTGAACATACTGGACCCCTCCTCACCCCTCTAACTCCCCCCCCCCCTTCCTCCTCCAGCCTTCCCACCCCCCACGCCCGCCTTCCTCCTCCAGCCCGCCCACCCCCCCACGCCCGCCTTCCTCCTCCAGCCCGCCCACCCCCCCAGGTCCGCCTTCCTCCTCCAGCCCGCCCACCTCCCACGCCCGCCTTCCTCCTCCAGCCCGCCCACCCACTCGCCCTCTCACTCACGCCCAGATACTTTCTTCGTCGTCGTGTGTTGCAGCTTGCTATCACCGGTAATTATTTTGCAGACGGGATGTTTTTTAAGACGCCTGCTTTGTGAGAAGAAACGTTTAAATATCCGCTAGTCTTGGTGCACAAAAAAAAGGGAAATGATAAACGGGAGAATAGAAATGAACACAAAAAAACACTGATGTAAACCTTCTAGTGTCTTTTTTTAAATATACTGTACTCAAGCTACGTAAGTACATGCATGCACATAAATGCATACACATACGCATTCATGCACACTGACACACACACACATACCGTATATGTGTTACAGATGGGTGTATACGTAAAAAAATACAAATACGAAAATACATAACATTATGTATAGCCAATACATATATTCGCAAGTGCATATGAATTTACATAAGTCTACTATATACCACTTACTATTATACTCTTTATACCAATGCCTCTCTCTCTCCTGGAAACCCACAACCCCCCCCTCCCCCGTGGTTTCCGTACCGGCCCCGGTGTGTACTGTGTATTGCGTCACTTAACCCCGCTGACTATGCACTCTCTCGGCTATGGTTCCAGATATACCGTCAAAAGTATATACTTGACTTTCTTAATGGATGATTAAGGATTCTTCATTACGCAATAGGATGATAGAAGAGAAAGGAGATAAATAAGAATAGGAAAAACAGGCTAAAAAGGGTTTCTTAGTATGTTATTAATATAATGCAGAGACGAAGAGGATGGAAAAAGGACGTGATGATATTATGGAAAGTATGGAAAAGATATACGGATGAGGATAAAGAAGATATTTCAGATAATTGGGGAATATAGAGATTTGTATGTGATGTAAACTTTATATGTAAATTAAAGATTAAAAATACTGCCTTGATTTCATTAACCTTTC